TCGGAGGGATCATTTTCCGTAGTCCGGCACTGGACAGAAGGCAGCAGCCCTGGCCTGGCAGAACTGTTAGCTCTCCTTAAAAGGTGCGGTACAAATCTTTCTTTTAAAATGCATGTGTGAAAGGCCAGTCATAGAAAAACCCCTTCTCACTGTATCATGCTCTTGCTTCTGATGTTTCTTATGATATTAATATATAACTGTTATTGTTTAGCAGAATTCCGTTCCATTGTGCAGCACATTCGCATCACGGGATCCTAGGGGGGATAGCGCTGGAGTTTGGAACATGCGATAAAGTATCCTCCAATTAAGCAGAGGAAACATTGCAAGTGCTACCAGGTTTCCTGTTCTGAGGCTCTGTCTCTCGCCAAATGTGTTACCACTCTCCTGAAAGATATTCTAGCTTGGCCTCTGGTGGATATCCAGAAGTTCAAACGAAGTTAAGGATCCATATTGAAGTTATGGATCGAGTTCCTCAGTTTTAAGAAAGCCACCTTGAATGGCCCCTCATTTGGCACTCATATAATATTGTTTGTTTAGTGAAATTAGTTTCATCCTACCTTTCCAAACCATATAAAATGCTCAGTGTGACTAACATGACTAATAAAAACAGTTGGATTATACTTTTTAAAGCAAACAAACGCAGGAGAGAAGCCGATGGAAGAAATACAATGGAAAAAGAAGTCCAGCAAGTTACATTATGGTATATTAATTTATTTAACAATACTTACGGATCGTTACATTAAAAGAAATGTCTAACCGATGTACAACAATTAAACATGGTAGACTGTTACTGTATACATGAGATAGGATTTCCTTTCTGAGAAGCTTTCTGGAAAAAAACACGTTTTCAGTGAAAACACAGAAATGTTGGCACCTGCCCAGTTGGTGGAGGGAGGGAGGGAGTTCCACAGACTGGCCACTATGATACTAAAGGCCTATCCTGAGCCCTTGTGGATGGGACTTCCAAAATCTGGGGTTGCAGCAGGAGGATGAGCACAGCAAGCAAATATGATAAGGTGAGTGATAAGGTGAATTGTTCAGTATATTTAAATATCTGGCAGGTCTTTGACCTAGCCAAAGTAGGACTCCTTCAGCTGCTGATGGACCACCAATAAAGAGGGCTGAATAAATGTCCGGGACCTGGAAGGGGTGCTGCACTGGAAAAGGTCCTTCCATATGTTCTTGCTAGCCATGCTGTAGCTGGAAGAAAGATGAACACAAAAGCATTCTCAGTGTGAAGGATAAGACCAGGAGGACTGAATGCTCCTTTTAGGTATCCTGCTCTCAGGCCATTGAGCCTGGTCCTTTATCCCAATAAGCCCCAAGGTTGCTAGTCAGAAAGGTAATTAGCAGCCTAAATTTTATTTTTATATAGAGCCGCTCTTTTGAGGGAAAAATAGCCCCATAAAAACACATCATAGGCTAGAAGTGCACCACGCTGGCAAAAGGGCACATATGTAAATTGCTACATGCAAATTTATGCAAATTTGCAATGAGCCCGAGCACTTCAGATTTTCAGTCCCTTCATTGCCCCTGGGTAGTGTGCACCTTAGAAATACAAAGTAAAAATTATCCCACTGCAAATACTACAAATCGTGGTGGGGCAGGGGGCCTGAGCGTGAGGAGGGCTGGCCAGAGTGACAATCAGTTCTTTGAATTGCCTCCTACCTGACCCTTCTGAATTTTCCCCTAACTCAGCCAGCTGTTGAGCCTTGACTCACAGTTGGATCACATTTATGCAGGCTGCCGGAGATGAAAAAGATGTGCAAACTGCATGGCTATTCTCCATTGGGTCCTATATATACACACACACGCACGCACGTACGCATACATGCACGCACGCTCACCCCTCTAAAACTAGCATGCACGTCTGCATGAGCATTACTCAGAATGTTTAAAAAGCCCATTTGCTTCTGCACATCTCGGCTGCGACACGCACATGACTCAGGCCTGGATACCTGCCACGTGCTGACGTCGAGGCCGAGTGACATAACCCTGCCTTGTGCTGGGTGTCCTGCAAGTGGAGCGCTAATGAGGAGCAAAGTGGCATCATTTGACACTGGACTGACATCTTCCCAGGCCAGGCCAGGCCAGGCCAAGCCCGGGCAGGCGGAGACCCGCTTCCAGTTCAAAGAGACAGGGAAGCTCTGATTGAAAGTTACTGGAGTGAACAAAATCCATGTGAGCCTGAAAGCTTCCAAACTGGCATACGCAGTGGGTATCCAATCATTCTAATTATTTCCAAGTAATTTAGCATATCTCTAATTATAATATGAGGTCATCTTAATTAGAATGACATAAAATAATGTTTAATTAGACACAATCCCCTCTTTCAGAGGTTCGTCATGGATTCCGGTAGAAAACCTTTGGCTCCTCTTGTGGGGAGCTTTTTATTCTTAATTTAACACTTTTTTTTGGTAATTAATTTCTTTTTGAACAAACAAGGCACACCAAGCCATTTGAATCTAATGAATGTTTCTTCCTTGGCTTGTCATTCTCTCCCTGCTCCTCCCCCCTTTTATCTCTAGGTTGTTCTAATATATTCATGTTTGTTTGCATAATGGCCTGTAGTTCAAGGCTGCCAGGAGACTGCCGTGGCTACAGCGGTGGGGGGAAGCGGCCGCGGATGCGCTGTTCTCTCCCGTATCCTTCCCTGCTGCAGCAGGAATTAGCAAGGGCAGCACAGCTACCCATTCTTTTTGGTGATGTACCAGAAGTACGTATGCTGCAACTGGCAAAACTCGTTTTAAAGATGATTTATTGCCTGCATTTTTGAAAGGCTGCTGCATCTGCAGTAACTGCACGGCAGAGCAAAGGAGCGTCCATTTCATTCCCGACTTTGGTCTCACATGCCCAGATTCTTCTGTGCCTTCTGTGTGTCGCAGAAAACTCTAAGGGTGCTTTGCCTGTATGAGCAGCATGCCATGGGAGCGGGTGTGCGGATGGACGCCCACCCATCCCAGTGTGGGTGGGTTAGGATTGTGCTCCTGGCCTTGGCACAATCGGAGATGATTCCTGCACAGGGGCCCTGAATACGTGGATGGCAAAAGGCACAGACTCTGCACGTGCAAGTGTTGCTCTTCTTACCCTCGAACCGATGTATGCTGGGGAGTGTGGGCCAATCGGTCCCTTCCTGTAGGCAGCATCTCCAACATGTGGAGTGAATGCAGTGAGGATGCAGGGCAGGAATCGCGATCCCAGCTGTGCCCTCTGCCCTGCTGCACATGGAACGACCACTTGCATAGTGTCAGTGTGAATGTGGGCTGTGTGCGCAGCAGGGCCCGCCTGAGGCGGCGCCCTCCATTCCACCTGCAAAAGCAGGCCGGAATGCCAGCCGCATCTCCCTTCAACGCTGGGGAGGGGACCGTGTCGTCCGCCCCTCCTGTGGTGAGCAGGTGGGTCTAGTGGGCCCAGAGCAGGCCTCGCATCACACCCGTTGGTCTTCCGGCACCTCCCTGCTGCCACCCAGTATCTCTGCCTGGCATGGCCGCCCCCTCTGTCTAACAGTGGGGCTGGCTCTGGTGTCCACTGCCACGGGTAGAAAGGCACAGTGAACGGAACGTACCTGGGTTTAAATTTGAGACCTTGGAAATACATGTGAGAGCCCTGCCTTCAACACCGGCTGGCGTTGTTTCACGTGGCTTGATGCTTGTACCCTCAGTCCCGATTTTGGAAGTAGCACCAGAATGGGCGCAGCTTCACTGGGGTTCAGAGTGCAAATGGATGAAATCGTGGTTTCTCTGCACCGCTGCCGTCTCTTTCCTGTGCCTCAGCCAGCAGTTCCTTAGACTGCAGAATGTCATTTACAAAATGGTTTCAGCATTCCAGAAATGAGTGGCACAAAACATGTGAAGTGTAATGATATGTTTTGCAGAGTGGTAGGGATTATATAATTGACTCTAATTACGATGGAATTAAATTTATTTTGTGCTTTGCACATTCAGTCATCTTCTCAATTCAAGGTTTCTGTGAGCTCCACATACATGTCTATTTGGAATTACTTGGAGAAAATGAAAATCCAAATTTTACTAAGACTGAAATATATTTTGCCAACAAAATAAATCTGCATGAGGCAGCACATATTCCACTTAAGCATCTGATTCTGTGAAGCATGCACATGATAAGCAGGATAATATGGGGTGTGAAATAATCAGCTTAGTTGGTAAGAGTTTGCTGTACAAATGGGGAAAGGGACGAGGGTTCATTATTTATATGTGCATTTAGTGCGGAGGTGTCCAATCTGAGGCCCACACGCACATCTGGATGCGTGTTGTGTGGCCCCTGACTTCCCCCTCCTGCCTCTAGGGTGGTTGCTTATGCATTAACGGGGTTGCAGGGGGGGGGGGAGAAAAAAAGAAAGAGGAATTGCATCTCTAAAAAGGAGTCAAAAACGGGCCACCCATTTGCATGACCTTTGCAAATGCATATGTATGTGCAATTTTAGCAATAATAGCTAAGTTAAATAGAGTTGAATGTTTCCATTGTTGACAAGACTGCAACCAGGTGACCAGTGTCCCTGCTCAGTCAGCTGCATGGGTGCAAACCATTGAGTGTCCCCTTAGCCCAAAAGCCAGATTCAACTTTGGAGACACCTTCAGAGGGAATACTATGGGTGGGTGGGGCCAAAAACCAGGGTGGAGAGCCAGGGCCAAAATCCCCCAATACCTGTACATTTTAGCTTAAAGTGATTCCTTCCTTCCTTCCTTCCTTCCTTCCTTCCTTCCTTCCTTCCTTCCTTCAGCTGAGCTTAGGCAAAACATTTCAACTGCTTAGAAGTTGAAGTTGAACCCATGCACAAGCTGAGAAGCTCATGGTTGAGCAAAAGTGGGTAGGGCCAGGGTAAGAGGGCTTGGCCATGTAGGGAAGCTTAGGAGCCAGATGGGACCCAAGTGGCTCAGATTTCTCTTTCCCTGGCCCTGAAGTTCAACACCCCTGCTCTAGACCTTTCAGAAGAACCAGTCCATAAAATCTATGGTGTTTTTCTTTCCTCTTGTTCCCAGGAGTCTGAAAGCTGGATGAAGACTTGCCACATCATCCTTACTCTTGCTAGCTGAGATACTCTCAAGTGGCAGCATTCGTCTTTTCTGGAGATGATTCAGGCTCTGAAGACTTCTGGAACGACTGACACAAGTGCAAGCTACTTGCTGGAAATAGTTCCTGAGTGGTGTCCCTCATGTAGCAATGGTTCGTCAACTGAGCCACATCTTGGCAACTGTTTGCCTGCATTATGTTATTTTATGCAAGAACATGTGAATTACTTGCCTGTTGCAGTCTTTGGGAATGTTTATGACATTTGCCCCTCAAAACAGGATGGTGGCACCCAGGCAGTGGAGAGCAGGAAGGGTTGAACTGGTCAGTGCCAAATCGGATATGCAGGAACTGCAATCCCCTTTCAGCATATGCTTTTCATTAGGGAGGAAACTGATTTTTTTGAAGCCCCAAGATCATCTATGCATGTATATTCCCATAAAAGCCTCTGTGGATTGACTCAGCCATGTATTTGGAGGCCCCCATTAGAAATGGGTTTGGATTCCTGTTAGCAAACAAACCCTGTCTATTGGCACGTACTGATAGAGGAGAAGTAACATTTCTGGATATTCTGACTTCATGGTGCCCACCACTTTGATGATGCATGTGGTGCTTCTTCCTTCCTTCCAGAAGCAATGAGTGGAAGGGCTTGTTTCTGGCAGAGGGCGGGTTGCTGGAGCTTGCTTAAGGCGCCTCACTGATCTGTACCAATGTTTCTGTTTGTTGTCAAGGATTCCTTTGAGAAGTGCAAAATCTCTGTAGTGAAACAGAATTGGCAGAATCCATTACTGGCCCAGTGGAAACTGCCTGGAAGAAGAAAATCAGCAGAGGTGTAAGTACTCTGTTCAGTTTTGCCTAGGGGGTGTAGTGGAAATTTTGTTGACAGTTGAAAAAACATAGATAGATAGATAGGTTGCTTCTTCAAGATCTAAACTCATGTGGTTGCTTCAGGACAGCCTTCCCCAGCTCCCATCTTCTTGATCTTCAGTTCCCATCAGGCCCAAGTTACATGATGAATATCAGAAACACCGGACACTGTAGGTCATTGTACATTGAGAGGGCTACTTTAGGAATATACACTTATTTTCATAGTCCTAAGGTATATTGGATATGACCTGTTTGAATCAAAAAGATCTCATTATATTTAATAACTTTAAAAAGTAAGCTACAACAATATGCATTTATTTAAAACTTTTATATGCCGTCCCTTATGCATGGCATCTCAGGATGGCTTACAATCATTAAAACAAAAACACAGTAAAACAGCCATACAATAGAATAACAAATTGTTTTACGATTATTTTCTGAATAAACAATACATTTTACATTCAATATATCAAACATGACCATTTTATGAGCAATATAACATTTCTTCTCATGTCTGACCAGAGGGGACTTCAGCATGTGGTCCTAAAAGACCTGATTCATCCCAAAAGCCAGAAGTAGCAGCAAGAACTGGAGGAAAGGATGACTGGTGAACTATGGCTGTTCCTGTTATGAGGAAATTAAGGCACTTCCTAATTCGGTACCTGCTTATTTTGGTGGTAGCTGCAGTTAAGACATTTTGTAGCTGAGGCAGCATTTCCTAGATCTAAGTGAGAACTGCATTGAAATGGTGGCAATGAGTTTTATACATCCAAGTTTCAAACTTAACAAAAAGGAAAAGAAAAAATAAACACAGGAGGAATCACCCAGATGCTCCTCTGTCGCATCATCTGACAGAGGCAAGATAGCTTGCACTGATTTTTCAATGTAAATTTTAAATTAAACTGTATTAATTGACTGATACAACACTGAATTAGAGAAGGCTCAGGAATACAGGACCCTGTAAACAAAACACAAATTTTCAAGATTGCACATTTTTTCCATAGTATGATATGTTGACTCTAGTCACATATTGAGAAATTGAACACAACCTGGAACTTCCCTAAACATCTACCCACAGAAGACTATATTGGCTCAAGAATTTAAATATGGAATAGAAGAATCTATGCCAGGAATCTACAGGGATGATTACAAAACATTTCCCCCTGGGCTTTCACATTTCCATATATTTTGGTCTTAATATAAAAGTTTTTCTATTACATAGTTTAAAGAAATAAACTATGTAATATCATGGGGATAAAGGTAACAATATAAAAACACCTTGTCTTAAATTTGAAAAGAACATATTTCATAGCCCAAAACTATTTTTTTTTTCAGAGAAGAAACCAATAACAACTTCCCCACCAAAATGGTATTTGGAGAAGAATGAGTGAAAACAGATTTTCCTAATTTTTTTCCATTCCCTGCCCCCAAACCTTCATATCTCTATTCAAGCTGTGAAGAGACACAAACGTGTTTAAACAACTCATTTACTTTAATTAAGAAACATTACTTAGATATTCTAATGAGCTAAATCATATTTTGTAATTAAATTATTTAAAATAAACACAAAAATCATTAGCCAGTTCTTTAATCAATTCACTCATCACTCAGAATGCTGAGTAAATAGAATGGAGGGGATGTGAATGCAGAAGCCACCCCGTCCTTCCTTCTGAATGGGCTTATAGACATAAACAGTCCTGTGTGTGAAGTCAAGTGTAATCATGACAGGTCAGCATTTCAAACTGAGCTGAAAATTAAAGATGTTTTCAAATGCAAGAGTTTGTTTCCTTTGACGCCTGCTTTGCATTACTTTTCTTCGTGTATGGGAGGGTGCCTGCGCATGAGCTTCTCCCTGTTGTCCCGCTTTCTGTGGGAAGGTGCTCACACAACAAGAACAAGATCCAATCAAGAATGAATGAGACTATGGTTTATATCGGACTCCTTTGGTATGAGGCAGACCATGGCCCTTGCCATGTGCCTGGCATGGCATGAATGTCTTCTCCTTGGAATTGGTGTGCTCACCCGGGGCCAGGATTATCTAGTGATGGGGGCTTGCTGTGCTGATTGATAGAAAGAACTACATACCAATCTCACTGACTAATTAGTTACAGCTGGGGAGATCTTCGAATGAAGCACAAGGAGAGGCAGGTCATTTTTTCCATTAGCAGCTGGATCAGTTAAGGACCTCCAGCCCTATGGGGCTAGAACACTTAGATCACCCCGCCCCCCGGCGTCAATTGGGAATTCCTATCTGGTGGCCAGACTACACATTCTCCTAGCCACACATTGTGTACCTGTGCTTGATAGCTTTACCGACTGTTGTGTAAGCACACATCTCCGTCATCTGGGTTGGGACCATGGTGGTCTGGGAAAAGAGTTGAACCTCCCTCCCTTTTCCTTCCCAGTGAGGCTTCCTTCACACAGGGGGTGGTGGTTAAAAAATCAAAAGCCTCCATCAGCTGCAGAAATAATGCACTGAAAATACAGTGTAGGAACCACAATGTGCTTTGAGTATACACTGAAAGTTGGCTAGGGTGAATGTTGATGCTGAAAAGCTCCAAGAGCATGGATGTTCCTACCATAAAAGCTTCTGTGGGTTTTCACAATTGCACAAGTGGAAATTCCCATCTGAACAATGTTCCATTTACTGAGAATCGCTGATCCCAACCTTTATTCAGGCTATGGAGACAGACAAATGTCTCGAAGCAATTCAGCTAGGTTAAAGAGGCAGCTTGCCTGGAGACTGGCAAATTGTGGATGCATTGCCCCAGCCTCGGATGGCACTGAGGCCTTGTAGATTCTTGCAGAAACCTCTGCTGTGGATAAGAGGGATCGTTAGAGGACTTCGGAAAGATCTTGTACCCATCCTACTTGGGCAGTCCCCACCCCTCTTTAGGGTTAACACAAACCCTTAGAAGTCAGTGCGCGAGCTGTAATCTTTGTAGGAAATGTCTGTGGAGGTCAGGTTCACTTTGTGCCCTGCTTTACTTCTCATCTGCACACCAACACAACACAAGACACGTTCTATTGTGCACCTTGTTTGACTGCTTCCTAGTTAGCTTCTTATTAACATCACAGTGTCAAACTTTCATAACAGTTATGATCAGAATTACTACCAAGATTTGATTATGTCTCTATAACATCAGCGAAAGCAGATGGACCTGATGGAAAATGTAATAATAATATCTGGAGCAAATGAAGTTGAGGAGATAGGAAGCTGTTTTTCTAGAGGTTCCATATTTCCTCCTAGTTCCCAGGATAAGCAAACACTTGCAGAGCAGGTCACATTATGTTGAGATTGCACTGATTTTTTGTTGATTTTTTGTTAATGATTGCATGGTGTGACAAACCGTCATGAGCTGCTGCTCACAATAGGGCATTATGTAATGTGAACCCAGTCCAATTTCCCAAGCATAGCTTGTTCGTGGGCAACAAGAAACTCTGGTAGCCCTTAGGTTTTGTAGGGGTCATTGTACCCAAAACAGCTGGTTGTTGTGGGAGACTAATCCTATTGTGGGTACAAAAAAATTACCTGAGAGGAAAAAAAGCTGTCAAGAATAAACAGAGGTGGGAGGAATCCTTGCTTGTGAAAAGGGAGCATCAAAAGTCTGGATCTATTGAGAAAGGTCTATTTGTCAGAGCAGTGGGTGGTTTTGGACTTGGGGGAGGGAATGTAAAATGTGCATCAGCATTTTTGAATAGCTGGGGTGGTAGTGGAAACATGAAGAACTTGCCTAGAAGGGAATGTGAATGTTCAAACACCCCTACTTTGCATGAAAAGATCCCTTGTCCCTTTCACTTCTCTTAACAGCTCCTCTTTAGACAGCTGTCAAGAGAAAACAAAGACTGGATGAAACATTTTGATCAGTATTTTCTGGGCAATATCCAGGGCTGGTACCTGCTGCCAGGCAGGTGATCCCCTGGACATTGCCTGAGCGAAGGATTCAGATCCCTGCAGTCACAATATTTTTGTGCCAAAAGGAGGGAGGATTCTGACAGCCATGGACATCTCCTCCAAGGTATTGCTCAGGCACTTTGAAGGATCTGTCAGTGGCTGTCAAAACAGGAATTGCAAAAGCAAGCTGCCAAGCTGGTTTGCATGATCAATGGGGAAAAAAAATAAAGGGGAAGGGACAGTGATGAGCTGAAAATAGTCCATGTTCATGGCAGGGGATAAGGAGAGACCTCAGTCCTCCTGTGAGCTTCCTCTGGGATGCCTGTGGGAGGACTGAGGAGAGAGGAGGACAGGAGGAGGACAATAGCCCATGGTGAGCCTGATCTCTGCTCTGCTCATTGTGGGTTGTTTGCGCGATGGGCAGCTCACCGTGGCTTACTGCCAGGGTGGGTTAGCGGCATGATATGTGAATGCGCCCATAGAGTGCAGCTGCTTGCAGAGTGCTTCATCCGACCAGTGATGCTTCTGCAAGATGGTCCCAGGAAGAAATCTACTACTTCCAAGGGCTCAGGCCAGGTGTCTTCTTTTATTCCAAACAGGTAAATGATGGAAAGGCTGCTGTAGGACCATCCAATTCTGGTTCAAAGGTGTTGGCCCAGGGGCTCCAATGCCCATCATCAGCGAGCACCTGGGAGCAGGTAGGTACACAGGTCACCATCTTCCACACACTGACGGGATGTATTGTATTTCTGTTTCTGTGAGAGTAATGAGTTAGGCATCTCCACACAGCCTTACACACCACAGAGTCACACTTTATGCCCCTTCCACTGTCCTCCTTTTTGGGGATGCATTTCCTTCTTTTTGCATGCTTCCTAAGTAGGCCCCTTAGCTGCGTTATTACCCTTAGTGGGCTGCACCGCTGAGTCATGGGCCTTCCCCAGTGAGTGGATGGGCCCCAGATGTAATCTCTGATTGACAGAGAAAAAAATCTTTGCTAAACTTGTATATTTTAACTTTTTTTTTTGGTTTACTTTCTGGCATAACTGTACTCATTGTTGTAAATGCATTTGGAACAAGAAACTGCAGAGCCCATTGGCAAGGACATTCATAAAGCATTTTTTAAAAAAATCAAACACTGCTTTTTTCTTCTTTTCTTTCTTTTTTAAGAGCAATGTGGCCTCCCCCATCTCCCTGGCATTCAAAAAACAAAATTGGGACAGATGGCAGAAACAGACTCAAATTTCCCTGGGGATGAGGGGAAAATGGTATGGAAGATCAGAATCAAACCAAACAGGTGACTCTGAAAACTTAATTTGCAACGGCCTGGTAGAAATACAGGACAAATTAAGCAGCATTCCTCTGCTGTGAATGAAGTTGTACACCAAATAAATGAGAAGAAGTAACTAAGCTGGTGAGTGAAGCATGACAGAAATGAGCTAGATAAAACCAGGCAGAGATGAAACTCATCTCACGGTAGGTGAGAAGCTGTTTATTTTGACAGAGGCCTGTATTTACCCAATTGTGTAATTATCGTCACTGACATGGGAAAGGGAAACGGGTAAATTCCGAAGCGTGGCTAAGAATGACTCTGTGAGTTTGTTCTATGCTAGAACTCATCCTGCCTCTCACTGAAGGCCTTTCGCACATTATCCAGCAGCGAACCTGGGATCGCCGTGGCACAAGCGCTCTCCCCAGAGGGTTCCATCAGTCATGAGTCCATAAATAGTGGACGTGTGCATGAAGCACGTCTTTGCCATTGTGTGCTTGCCACTTCTGTATTTTAGAGGTGCTCTTCACACAGCTGAAGAGAGTCCTGTATAAACCGGCCCAGAGTCCAGTTTAGGTGGAGGTGAGGATCATTTGCTTAAGGTGATGCTGTTTGACAGTTCCTCTTCCATGAAGACCTGAAAACAAACTTTATCCAGCTATCAGTATTGGTATGATGCTGTCTCTGGGTTTCTTACAAACTGATAATCGAAATGGATCAAAGTTTAACCAGTGAGTATTCTTCTGTTTTGCAGCAGGAGAGACTCTAGGGTCCCACTTTGGCCAATGGTAAGTGCTTTTGAAACAGGAGCTGGGGACCAGTGGGCCTTCACATGTTGTTGGACTACAGCTCCCATGGTTCCTCACTATTGGCTATGTTGGGAAGGGCTGAAGGAGGTAAGCTGTTACACCCAAACACACATCCCCGGGAGTAAGTCTCAAGGAATACAATGGTATCTACTTCCATGTAAATATGCCTAGGATCAGGCTGTTAAACTTGTTCATGGTCATGGGAATAAAAATAAATTCTCAAACTGGAATAAGTGACATTTGACAGTGTTTAACTTTGTCTAGACTATGCCTTCACCAACTTAATATTAATTTCAATACGAAATACTACTTATTTCAAAGTGAACTTTGAGGGAATACTTTATTCCTTCCAGAAAGTTAAAAGTTTGCTAATTTTAATATTACGACTGGATAATATTTAGGGATTGTTTTTGAAGGAACTTTACAGTGACTCTGTACTGGGCCCGAAATGTACACAGGCAGCCCATCCTGCATTGTGGATGGCCTTTCAACCTCACCCCTGGCAGTTTGGTCTCTCCATCCCTCCTTGAAGAAACACCACTTTTCACGTACAGTGTTCACTAAATAATAAACTGGAAATTAAAACAAAGCTGCAGTGCTAAACATGTTTCTTTGAGCATTCAGTTTGAGAAAGTGTGTTTAAAATAGGATTGTTAATGTCAAATATTCCATTATTTCTTTTTCAGAAAACCAGCATGTGGGATAAAGCATAGCATGGCACCCAGCTGTAAAATACACTTTGCCTCTTTAATGCTGCCAACTGCTTTTTTCATAGTGCTACCACAAGGAAGGGGGAAATTTTTCTTTGGTTCACATATAGAAGTGAACTTACTTGATAGGCATGTCATGAACCTATATGTAAAATGAAAAACAGTTGCATTTCAATAGTCGCACTTTTCTGAATATTGCTATAGTGCTCTCCATTTTTTGAAAAAATGCACATATATAGGCAGAAGTGGGAACAATATTGTAGAATGATCACCTGCCCTGTATGATCCATTTTTTGGGCACTGCCCTCTAATCCTGGGCGTTTAATGTCCTATGATGGGACATTTCAGTTGTTTTAATAGGTTTAGTTTTTGTTATCATTGTTTTAGTTTTTTTCAACTATATTAAATTGTGCATATTGGAATTTATATTGTATTGTATCTGTACTTTATTATTGTATTTTATCATTATCTGTTTTATTGCACTTGTTTTATGAATTGCTGCAAACTGCCTGGAGAGCTTCAGTTACTGGACAGTATAGAAATAGATAAGTAAATAAAACATTAGGAAAGATTTGCTCCTAAATGCATACAAATCTTTCTACTTAATCCTGCTTCCCCCAGCCCCACAAAGAAAGGAAAAAGAAGACAAGAAAGGGGGGAAAAGAAAAAAATCATTTTGCAGTGACTGGAAAAAACAAAGGTAACTTTGGGAATATGAGAAATGGAGAGAAACCAAAACTGACGGCTTTTATTTTTGCAGGGTCAGCCTTCACAGCTGGACTGCTCAGCTGAGGGCATCTGGGTGTATTCCTGAGGTCCACCAAGAGCTTGGCTGTCAATGCTGTCCCTGACTTTTTTTCAGTCCAAGAGAGGAAGTGAAAGCAAAATGTTGATTAAAACTGTGGTGGGCTGCTGCAGTATCTGAATTTGGTGGGTCACCCATTGTGGGAGCTTCTCAGAGAGTCAAGATATCAAATCTCTCCTGCCACTCTCTAATTCTTACAGAGAGAAATTTCAACCCTTTCAAAGGGAGAAATTGCCAAATGATTCATGGCTGGTGGGAGCCAGGAGGAGCCAGGGAGAGGGAGTGATCCTTTGGGACTGTGGAGGTGAGGCAACAATGTTTTTGTTCCTTCTTTAGATAATGGGAACTCTTTCTCTGGATATGATAACAATAGCCATTTACCTGGAGGTAAACCCCTTTGAACTCAGTGGAACTTGCTTCTCATCAAGTGTATAGAGAATTGAGCTGTAAAGTATTGATTTCGCATATTCTGTGGCAGAAGGTCTGTGACAGTAGATGTCATCAGCAGCTCAGTGTCCCGCTCTGCCCTCTGGCAAAGGGCTCTGTCATGGTGCGTTTTGCACAGTCGCCTTGGACTCTTCCAAAGAAGAATCGCTGGGCCAGGTGTCAGCCATGACGGAGACGGCTGCCTTGGTGCCTACAAACTGGAGGTAAGTCACAGGAGCTCTGCTGCCCTTGTGAAATGTTCCTCCCATGACATTGCCAGATTTTGTCTGGCCCTGAATAATAAACATGCCACATAGCTACTAAGTGACGAGCGTCTCACGGCTTGCATTGTGCATCTTTCATAGTTTGAAACTTGCATTCTTTTATTTGATAACCTGCATGTTTCCTTCCCTTCTGTTCATCATACTGTTATAGTATTTTATAACACTGGTATTGTGGCTTCTTTGCAGGAAGTCCTGATGCGTAATGGATCAATACATCACTGCATTGTGGGCTAAGCCATTTCCCCCCTAACGTTGGGCCAAAGAATGTAGCACGGCCTTTTCTGAATGTTGTGTATGGGTTTTGGTGGGGTGTATCCACATTTTGATGTGTGGTGGCCATTCCTCTTGCACTGAATGAAGGAAAGCAAATTCAAAAGCTGTGCCACTGCTTGAATGTAAGAGGAGCCCTGCTGGATCAGGCCACGAGTCTCACCAGTCCAGCGTTCTCTTCACACCAGCTGCCCCCAGGTAGCTCACTGGCAGGGCATGATGGCCACAGCACCCTTCCTTGCCCATGTTCCCCAGCAACGGGTGTCCATAGGTGTATTGCCCCTATGTACATGCAGCAGTAAATTACAGCTATCAGGACTAGTTGCAGTCCTCCTCTGTAAATTTATCCAGTCCCTATTAAAAAAAAAACATAGCTTTATATATCACTTTTCAATGGGCTCTCCAAGCAGTTTACAAAAATGCTAAAAACATAAAACACAGTGATAAAAGCACAGTAATTGCTAGTCAGCTGTAATCATACTAGTTGGATCGTCCTTCAGAGAAAGCATGCAGGTCTCGAAAGGTGGGTCTTGAGCAAAAGCCTAAAGATCAGGAATGAAGGCACCAGCCTGATGCCAAAGGGTAGCATCTTTTGGACAGTGGGAGATGCAACCTCACATGGTCTATTGCAGGTGCTCAAGTGCAGGCAGCACTGTTGGAAGCACTGCTCAGGAGGATTGAGAGGACCAGGGTGGGGCAGGGGACTCCTTAGGGCACCCTGGTCCCAAGTTCTTTAGGGCTTTCTGCATTAACCACAAACCCTGGTAGTTTGGCCTGGTAGTCTCTCTGCAGCCAGTTCAATTCATTTAACTGGGTTTCTCACACGGACAAATTTTGACTGTTTTTTGTTTGTTTGTTTGTTTGTTTTTTGATTTATATCCTGCCTTTTTCCTACAAAGGGCTCAAGGTAGCTTACATCATTCTCCTCCTCCATCTTATCCTCACAACAACAACCCTGTGAGGTAGGCTGGGCTGAGAGTCTGTGACTGGCCCAAAGTCACCCAGTTGGCTCCATGGCTAAGCGGGGACTAGAACCCAGATCGGCTGAGTCCCAGTCCCAGGCTCTTAACCACTACACCACACTGGTTTTTAATATAGGTTTTATTGTTTACTGGTTAAGAATTTGATTAGGATGCTGTGTTTTATTTTATTTTTGTCTTATGGTTAAACAGTCTCAAGACTATGGTAAGGGGCAGTCTAAAAAGTTTTAAATAAATAAATAAATAAATAGATGAACTGGCAGCCAGGCTCTTAGTAACTTTGGATAAGCCAGTTTCCAAGGTTTTTGTGAGTACTTTAAATCTGGAGTGGTGAGAAACATTTTTAAACGGTCTTTTTCAGCTGCTGGAATGTTTTGTCTTTTTTAAAAAATAGTTTCACTGCTGAGACTTTTAACATCTTAAAAATAATTATTTTGGTGTGCCTCATTATGGATTTCATTGTATTTGCTTTAATGGCCTATGTCACCCAGAGAGCTTTGGCTATAGGGGCGAATGTGTAATAATAAAAAATGAATGAAATATTGAGAAGTAGGTCCTTGGTATCGGTCATGTGCTCATCATCCCCTGCTCAAGGTTGTTTATGGGTTCTTTAGATGATGTTGTGAGCCTCCACTTTCACTCCTCTTTGTAAACACTTTCTCCAAGGTTGTTTTAGAGCAGCGAAAATGAAGTATATTTCTTTCAATGGTGAAAGAAAGCGTGATTCCTCCTGTGCATTTGTGTGATGCCACTACATCATGGTGCCCCCTAGAGGTTATGTGTTGGGAAAATTCTGATAATTCAGATAAATCCTGGCAGAGAAAAGGTTGCTTATATGTGTCTTTGGGTTATAAAATCAAATCTGCACCCCTTTCTGAGATTTCCAAGCCAGGTTACTGTTTAGCATTTGCTGTTGGTTTAAGAAGTGAGAACTGATAGATTGCCTAGAAGCTGCCAGGGCTATTGTTTGGTTGATCAGTAAGAACTGATAAGGCTGCCAGATTAAAAGCATTACAATCACCCTCATTTGCATGCCAAGACTCATAATAATCCCTGTGCCTCAGTGGTTATTATGTTAATCTCCTGCAATCAAATGCCATTGTATTGAGCCCCCTCTGCAGACCTCTCACCTTCTGCCTGTGTTCCCCTTATTTCATCATCAACTGCCCAGCTGCTGGGCCCACGTGACTCAGAATCTGTAAAACACTCTATATGTTCTAAAAGCTTGCAGTTGGTGGTGAGGTCCGCTACCCAGTCGCATGCTGTCGTAAGTAACTCCAGAGGTCCTGGGTGATCCTTCAATAAAACTGCTGAGGTTCAGCAAGGCAAAAGTGGTCTTTCCTGAGTGAACCTGGTTGTTCTTGTTGCAGCTGCCATCGAGGCTTCCCAACATACGTAGCAGAAAATCAGGAGAGGAAATACAGCTCATGTAATGCTCTGGTTTTGATGCTGCAGTGGAATCAAGGCAGAGCCAGTGTCCGGTAGAAAATCCCTCAGCCCATTAGCTTATCCTGCCTGGTACCATCAGAAACAGACTGGCAGAGCATCTCCAGTGTCTGCGGCAGGATTCTTTCTGAGCTCCGCCTGGAGAAGCCTGGGCTTGAGTCCGAGACCTTCTGCAAGCAGTCATGTGCCCTGCCCCAGCAAGGCAGCTGTGCAGCAGTCGCTCCTGGCGGTGACCCTGCTGGAACCCTAATCCATTCCTGGGGATATTGGAGGAGCCCATTCCACTAACTGCAGAAAGTGGAGTGCCAGCGGTGAAAGTAGGTGCAAGGCTGAGCAAGGAAAAGTTCTCAAAATAGTTTTGCCTGTGGAATGGTGGGAGAGGCCCTGTGATTTGGGGCCCCTGCCAGAAAGTACTGTGTTGAACTGTAGACAGTCAGCTGGTCTACATGCTGCATTCAAGAGAGCTGGTCCAGTTGTTTCTGGAAGTCACTGGCAGCCTCAGGGTGCTGTGCACATCTTCTACCACACACATGAAGTCCAGTTAGAAGAATTTTGTTTCAGTGCCATTTCCAAATCTTGAGCAAAGAAGGGTCAATCCAAGTTTCAACAGGCTCCAGTTGTACCCAAGTATATCTAGCAATCCCAGTTCTCTAAGTTCTGGTCCTTTGAACCCTAATCAGAACCATCCATGCTCAAGAGGGTGAAGTTAGTAGCTTCAGATACTCCTGAGATTAGCACAAATCCTTTTTTAAAAGGGGGAGAACCTAAGGAGAACACCTCTTGATGAGGACTGAACATGCTCAGCAGTCACTGTTGCCAGACATTGGTGGCAAAAACCCCTAGAGAACAACAAGAGGAGGTGGCACTGATGTGTCACAAAAGAATTCTCAGGTGCCTGAACTAAAAAAAAGAAAAAAAGTGCATCCTAAATAATATATTTCATCAGGCACCTGAGATTTTTTCCTTTCATCTGGTAAGGTGGGCAGGGTGAAACCCAGGAAAACTGGGAACAGTAGGGCCATTATATAATGGAGTATCCTGAAGAGGAGTAGTCTGTTTTGTAAGTCCCATTTCGACATTCAATATTTTATCTACTCAAAGTGAAGATCATAGGTTTGTTTTGCTTGTATTTTGTTTGCACCTGCTTGATTTGTTTGTATTTTGCTTGC